CTGTAGATTAAAAAGTTGTTAGACCTTGGTTAATATTCCAATATTGGAAAAGTGGAACCAAGATTTTTGTGGTTGTTCAGCTCGTCGGGATTAAAGAAGCACTGTCTTTGGGATTCTTTTTTCTTGTTTTTTGGCATGAGATTGCACTTGGGGTTCTAGCTTCTAATCCTTGACGGTACATGGCGAGGGTGAATACATGTACTGACCGTCAAAGTAATCTTTTAAGCTTTACCAGAAATTACTTTTTCCAATTCAACAAAGAACCTTATCAAATCTTATCTTTCTATGATCAGTAAATCACGAATGGTCCTTTTTGTGTAACGTTATGCTATAAATGTTTATGCAATTTATTGAATGGTCCTTAAAACTGAATTTAAAAGCCATTGCAGTCCTTAATTTCCATCAGTAAATTTTTAATGAATTGGGTAGGGGCCATAACTACTACAAGCATTTTGTTGCCAACAAGTGTTACTCGCTTGACTGATGCGATCGTACGCGTTCCTTTCATCTTTCTTCTTCACAGATTGGAATTGAGTGCCAACTTAGCGCGGAAGAATTGGCTCAACAAATTCAGCAAACATTTTGCTAATTAAGATTCCCCCAAATCCTCCGGGTAGCAGTCCTCCTTCAGCGTTTAACAGAAGGTTAATTGTCTTGCTGCATTTCGTTCAGTAACTCTAACACAGTTATGCTCTCTAGATCTCTCTCAATAAAAGATACATATATAATTGAAACATGCGGTTGACATAGAGCAACTGGCGGATCAACTTTGACTTCTAATATTTTCTACTGGATTGCTGCTCGTTAGTTGTACTAGTATCTCTCTAGCTTAATTTGTCTCTTAAATCTAGCTTGCCCTTTTATTTTGTTTGAACTGTTAAAGTTGATGTACCTTCGTGGCTAGTTGCCCGTGGAGAGTTTTGATGCACACCCGCACGAAAATTTGAAGCGAAGAGGGGACGAATGATTTTTTAGGGGACAAAATTGGTTAGAAATGAAATATGCTTTAACATATGCAACTTGGACCTAAAAACCTCAAAGGAAGATGACTACCTAGTTACGACTGACTATGCAACTGCTACGAAAGTGTAAATAGACCAAGATGAAAAGCGACCACACTCTTTATGGTCCTACTTCTTCTCTATATACTTGTTGTACTAGATAAATTCCACTTCCCTAATCTGTCATAGAGCAATCTTGCAACTTTCACTTGCTTTGCTAGTAACACTTGCGTAGAGGCTCTAAGCCCTTGTATACTCGGCACTCTCTTTTTCTTTCTCAAATCAGCACTACCCGACAACATCAAACCATCCCAAGAACCTACAAATGAATATGATGCTTATAGGATGGACAGAGTTCGAGACGAAAATAATTTTTCAATGACTAAATAATTCTTCCTACCCGAGTGCTTCTTGAAGATATATTAAAGCCGAGTAAGGGTTTTGGTAACTGTCTATTTTCCTTTTATCATGGAGAAGGGAATGTGATTAGTCATAACTTTGGCAAAATTTGCCATTACCGTAACAGTTGAGATTGAGTGGAGGTTTTCCTTCCCAGTTTAGCTAGTGTCCTTAGGCAAAGAAGATGTAGGAGCAGTTGCTCCAGATATTTGAAAGTTCTGCTACCGAGTTGGCAAAAAAAAAAAATAATAATAATAAAGAAACAACCCCCTCTAGTATTCTTATTGTAAATGTTGTTGTCGTCGTAGTATGGTGGATCTCAGTTCTAGATGGGGTGTTTCTTCCAGTTACAAGAATAAGAGAAGTTTAACATACTAACATGGATATTATTACCTAATATTACCATAAGGAATGAAGCAATTAGATGGCACTGGACACCAAGAACGTTAGGTCTTTTCTGCCTATATAGGCCGCGAACTTAGCGGGAAGCAACAGTTTGGACTACGATATTTATGTGCATTCAATAGCAGCTTTAGTGGCTTTGCATGCCGGAGGCAATGGGAACTGGTCCGGTGATGCATGCTAGAGACTGAAGACATCTGTTCTCGTACTTTCTCTTACGCTGAAAGAAGGATATAGCAATCCGTGATTCCCTAATTATCATCTATAACGTGAGAAATGTGGCGCTAGAGCATTTTTTTTTTCACTGCACAAGCAAAACTGCTGCTCCATGGTTAAATATCAGTTCTCACTTTTGGTCTGGAAATTTCTATTTGGATATATACCTCAGATTGTAAAGCAGCAATTATATCTTAACTCCAAAATATCTGAAATCAGCCAAGTAATGAAGAAGAGAATAGAGTAGGCAAAAAGAAAAAAAGACTTGCGGAGGCATTTCATTTTCGTACTGGATATTCTATGATCCCTTTAGGGAATCATTTCCTGAATTAACATCCCTCAAAAATGAGATTGATCTGTATTTTTTTTTAAATTAAAATTGTTACAAGCTAACAGTAAAATACATTTAAATGTAAAAGGGCCTATAAAATCTTCCTATATAAATCCGATGAAATAAGAGCAAGCAATGCAAGGTCTGGAGCATCTCTTCTTGCCTCTTTAAGATGATGATGAGTCACAATCCTGTACGGTACGCCTAAGTAATCCCCCCCCCCCCCCCGCGGGGGAACAAAAAAAGAAAAAGAGCATCATGAGCGGATTAATTCAAGTGTTGCCTCAACGATGTAAGATCAAGTGAATGATGCACACCAGATGAAGGATATTCGAAAAACAAGTATTCAAAACAGAAAAACGCAGAGGTCGTCAAGGGTGCCAAGTCCTTTCTTCATTGTACTCTCGGGAGGGAAGGGCAACTTTGTTGCCCCAGTCTCCCATTGACAAGACTGGATGCCCCGCGTTTTACTACTTTGTTTCATGAAGAAATTATAATGACTTCACGAGAATACTCAAGAGTGATGATGGTGATACGGATTTACACTTTGCGAAAATAATGACCAGAACCAAAAGAAATTAAATCTGTCTCATGAAGTGATCCATCCCGTCGAATGAATGCAATTAACACACCGAGGAATCAATTTTGGCATGAGCTTATCATAAATCAGCAACTAACTCACTTTGTACCACTTCTGCTAGAGGTAATATCATCATACTTGGGAATGACAACTCTGTGAATGATGTTCATGAAACGAGATACAAGTGACTAATTATAACTGGTAATTAATAGGATCTTTGAATGCAAGTAACAACTGGACTGTTACTGTTACCATTCTGCATTCCTTATGTATATTTTCAGGGCTGAGACACATATTGCATCATTTCAATTTGAAGGAAATGGACTGAGATGCTCTTATATATGTATAAGCAAATAGATACAATCCAAGATTGGACCTCTCTTAATGCATTTGGCATCTCATTCTAGGGTTAGCTTACCCGAAAAAATATTTAGGGTTGGCAGGCAAGGCATGAACGTGCATGCAGCTAGCTTTATATATATATATATATATATATATATATATTCGCAAGTAAGTTTTTGACTAAATTTGTTTGCTGTAAGTTTTTTAACAACTTTAGTTACAGTAATTTTAAAAAATTTTTAAAATTATATATTTCAAAATATTTAAAAATTTACACGCTTTAAAAATTTTTTCTATAACTTTTATTATAAATTACAGTAAAATTTTAAATAAATATCCAAAAAAAACTCATTTGCCAAACGGATCCATAGCTCGCAGCGTCTGAGAACCCTTATGCCGGACCCAAAAAGTTAATAAGCAAGTCAAAGAAAAAAATGGTCCCCTAGGCAGTAGCACTCTTGAGACCGTAAAAGCTCTTGCTAGAGCCTGTTGTTGCATGAAAAGCCACAACAGGATGCGGTCCAATCCAGGCTTGGCCTACTCCTTAATTAGTCAGTGTATCATAAGGTACAAGGGGGTACGTGTTAAAAAGGAACACATTAAGAATGACACCAGAAATCCCATATATCTTTTGCTTTAATAAATCTTGTGCAGAATAACATATAGATGAATCAGAAACGCCAATACAATGAAATGCATGGACTTGAGTTGTGGGGATGCATGTGCTGTGTTGGGCCGTCCGACCAATTTATTACGGAGGACTGCTCCCACTTCCCAAGGGGACCAAATCAGGTGTGACGCGTGAGTAGCATTTCGGGGGTAGTAATGGGATTACACTCATATATGATACCTTATTGACAAATGATACATTGCAATAGCTTCTGTAGTTTTAATGTTAGAGTAGTTTGCTACTTTGCTTTGAATACTACTCTTGCATCCGTTAAAAGTACGTAGTTTTCATTTTAGAACTTCTCAAAGTATTTTTCATCTTATTAAAGTAAAAGCTATTTTTGATCTCTTTTTGAATACTTTTTTATTATCCATATGGATGCAATATGCACTCGTATGATTTGATGGTAGTTTAATTCTCGTTAATTTTTCATGATCCTGTTGAACCACCCATAATATAGATTGGAATAGGATTAGGAATAAAAATAGGCGTAGATGATGACAATAAATCCAAAAAAAAAAAAAAAAGAGTGGCAGCATAACCAAACAACCCCCTCCTTTTCTTCTCTTCCTTGGTATATTTTCACTGATTGTGAAGGAGTATTGTGATATCATCTCTACTGATGGCAGTTTTCTTAGAAATGATATGACAATATTTGAAAAAAAAAAAAAAAAAAGCCATAACTCCAACAGACAAAAAGGAAGTAAAAACTCACGAGAGCTATGCACCCCCCAACACAAAATATATTCACCATCTTGCTCTCTCGATACTCTAATATAGCCCTGAGATTACCAAACTATGATCATCATTTTGGCTTATATTTTTCGTTGTCATTTTTTTTGGCCACTGATCTTGTTACTCTTTCCTACAATGAAACCTACCCGCTGACTCGAGAGTTTTCTGAATTTCCAAATTGCCCCTGACCATTTCCGCGCTACATGATCCGAGTACAGAGCTTAAGAATGGGCCAATATCCACATTTGGATTGGGTCACGTCAGGGGCCGTCCAGTACACTGAGACCCCTTGAGCCGAAAGGTTTTCCATATTGGACTCTGCTTAGAGCCCCAAATGAATTGCTTTAGAGTTTAGAGTTGACGTCACAATCAAGTTGCTCCGTGTGGTTCCGGCGAGTACCACCACCAACCCGCCCAGCGCCACCATAACAACGACAATGAGCCGGAGATGGGCAGGGCCAAGCTCGATATTCTGGAAAGAAAAAGTTAGCGTTAGCTCTACCCTATCTTCTCCTCCCCATTTTCCGCTGGTTTTCTAGTAAATTTTTATTCTCCTGCTTCGTACTTTTTCTGACGACCGAAAATCGAGAATTAATTTTTGTTTGCCTCCGCTCTCTCACTCACACACATATGAAGACTTTTGCCCTGAAAATGTTGGGTGCCGTTGTAATCACGAATTTTTGAAGATGGAATTTGTAGCGGCCGTACTAAATTGAAACTAATTTGAGAAGTCGACTAGTTCGATTTTTAGTGTGATTTTCCTGTTAGCTTGACAGTTGCTTACTGTTAGTTTTTTGGGAATTGAAATTGGATGAGACAAAACGCTAATTTCGCTGTTTGTTGTACTTGTATCGTTGAAGTTGCAGTTACATAGGCTGAATTTCGTCCTGCTGCACACAGATTTGACAGATACCCAGGACGTGCATGGTTCCGCATTTGGGAAAAAAGTATGAAGCAAATCCAGTGGCTTAATTAAGAGATTTCCTTGGAAGTCTTTTGTGGGGAAATCTCTTATTTGTTGATTTAACTTCGATTTATCTAATGATATTGAGAAGTGAAGAAAATATGCATCTAGCGCTATCTTTCAAAATAAGATTGAAAACATACAGAGCACATTGAATTTTTGAGCTCTTAACGACTGCCATGCCAACTATTTGTATTTAGGAATTTATGCTTGCAACAAGATCGATTATGTTATGTCAGATACAAAGTTCTTACCTGAATTCTACTTGATTTCAGAGTTTGATCAGAATGCAGACAACTGCATGAGACGAAAATCAAAAGGACTTCGGGTCATGAATCCAACAAAATTGTTACCGTTTCTTCACTAACCTCTGTCTAGATACTCTAAGTTTACAATATTCTTTCTATGCCAGTTACTCAGCTGGTTTCCACCTGACTACTTCTTCACATGATGATGTTATAAAAGCCTTCTTTGTTCACTACCTGGAATTACAATTTCATACGATTCTACTCTTGTTTTCTTTTCAAATTTACTGTGACGACTAGGAAAAGAACCCTGAATTATCAAATGTAAAGTTCGTGTCAAAGCCAATCTGACTGAATGGGAAGTCTGAGCCAACAGTGGGAGAATTTGTAGTGGAAGTTGCTGCTGAGATCAAGCCTGTAAATTCTGACTCCGAAGCATATGAGTTTTGGTTTTCTGCATAACTGCTTATGTGAGTTGGTGAAACCGAGAAGTAGTCTGACCCTGATGTTACGGGAGTCATGAATGGAGGAGACAAATCTCCTGCAAAGTTGTTATCAGTCAGAGATGGCAAGAAAAGATGAGTTTCTGGCTTTGTAGTTGATGTTGAAGCGAAGTCAAATGTAGGGAAATGTTGGTTGTGGGAGTCTAAGTCCTTGGTGTTAACTTTTAGGTCTCGTTGGAAACTCAGGAGTATTCCCTGTTGATTTTGTTGCGGTTGAGAGGTCACCTGTCGATGTTTCCCTTGCGAGCTAGTTTCAGGCTTTTCAGCTGCTGCTGCTGGTGGTTTTGGCTCAGAACCCTGGTTACATGTATGCCTTCCACGGTATGTAACTTCGAATATTGTTGGGTCCTCATCAGATCTTTGAACTTGTTTTGTAGCCAGACAGCCTTGGACGTGTCGGTGAGTGCACCTGTAGTAACCTCTGGAAGAATATGGTGAAGTCAGCTATGTTTTCTTTGTAGATAGCAAGGTTACACAAACATAAAGCATGAGAAATAATTGGTATGCTTAATTTTAATACCCTAAAAAGTGTTTTCTCAGTTCCATCAAGTCATGGATGAACATTTTTTTTTCTGCTGTAAAATCTATTTTACCTTTTTGATTATTCTCCAGCATTTACCTCGAGTTACTGCCCTAATGACCAGGCCAGATGTTCAATGCAAAAGAATGACAGCTTGGGGAAAGAAAGAAGACTCTGCATGGTAGGAGTGGCAGGGTAGTTGGGCAAATATTTTGGGATCATGGAGCCAAAAGTCAGTGAACTGAAGCCTATTGTTTGATGTAATGAAGTTGCATATAGTTGGGCATTTTTTGGCTTTTCCCTCTCAAGAAGGGGTATCCTAGCAACTTTCTGAAAGGTAGATTCTGACAACATGCTGGTCTTTGTACTTCAATGGTACCAGGAAATCACCAAATTAGAAGGGGCAATGGTAGATGCTGGCAGTGAAAATGTTTGTTACCTTGGGTGTTTGGCTCCAAGAATATCTTTCTGCCCATACTTTCTCCAACTGAAGCCATCATCTAGAGGCCCTTCAAGTCCCATCCCAGGACAAACTTGAACGTGTTTTGTCCACCGTGGCATAGTCTTCCTGCAACAGGGACTTCAGCGTGTTAGCAGCAATAGGAAGTGATAATACAACAAAGTTTTGTGAAACAAATTCTTAAAACAGCTGAAGTGAGAGCAACAGTTGATTTGATTACCTCTTCCTGGAGACGTCTCTGGAGTCCTGATCCCTGAATTCTCTATCAGAATCATCACTGTGCGGACTTGCGCTCAAGGATCTTGGGGAATCAGACATTCCAATTGCCAACCCTGTATTTTGGCGGGAGCGGGATTCAGACATTGCGATGGTTGTCCCTGTACTTTGTTCCCTCTCTCCCACTCCGACAGCGGCATTACTTTTGAGCATGTTCAACGCCTTCTCGTAGGAGTTCAGTATCTTGTGAACCAACGAGTCACGACTCTCGGGTGACGAAGATGGGGCATTGATATGAACCTGAAGCTGCTTAGCCAACTCCCTCCCTAGCATTAGCTCATTTATCAGATTCCCAAGCTCCCAATCTGCTGAATTCTCCATCCTCAAATTACAGAGAGAGAAGCACCAGTATAGCTCTTTCTGGAATGCTGTCCAATAAGCAGAAGCGAGCTGTGCACGCTAAGAAAGGTTTTAAGTGTATGTCAAGTCAAGCACCGCGCAGTGGTCGCGTAAACCAGTGTTTAATGCCAGAACTTGCGCGATTGCGGGCAAAATGAACATGCAAGAAAAGCTGGAAGCCTCTGAGTTGAGGAAAATCGATCTTTGCTTTTGAAATCATGCAATCTGCGTCCGGAAGTTAGTAGCGGAAAGGAGCAACCAGGCAAGAAAGGAATGCTCAAGTTATTATTTTTGCAAATTTATTTTGTTTTGCGGGAACCAACAGTGATAGAAAGAGAGAGAAAATTTATGGGATGCTGATCAGATTGTGCGCTCTATCTTTTAAGGTGGCGATTGTGAGTTCGAAGGTGTGGAATGGAGGAGTCTGAGGTTTATTCTATATATACATATATATATATATATATATATATATATATGTATATATGCATACGAGCTTTTTCGAAGAGGAAGGCGATTGAGGAAAAGAGTAGTGTAGTATAACAGAAGCAGAATGGAAGAATTGAAAATTTGACCGAGGAAAGCGAGTGATTTTTCTTCGTTCAAACAGCGGTCTTTGGTCAACCGTGAGAATTGCGAAAGTGTTGTTGGGTTTAGGCCTTGTAAGGGCTTGGGAGCATAAATTCCATGGGGAGCCCAATTGCTGACTAATTCAACAAAAACCTGAAATACATGCATGCTCTAATACATGCATTAGCCTGTCATTCTACTTGCTGTTCGTGGTGGTACTCCATTGCTTGTTGTACGGTGCCCATTTTCTTCCACTTAATTCATTTCTTGGGGGGACTGAATTAGGATGGATTCAATGATGAGGAGTAAAAGTTACCACGATTCTTCAATTGTAGGAACCGGGAAGTAGCGAGCCGAAGACCAGGAGGAAGAAACGAAAGAAGGGGAGTGTTTCCGCGGGGGGGACGACTGAGAATTTTCAATTTGATTTCCGCGTTACTGCTTCTGCTGGTACCATTCCCACCATATTATGCCACAAAGCAACACATTTTAGTTAGCAACTCTTGAGTAAAGAAGGCTTGAGGGCGATGACGCGCAATTGGCGTAAGACTCGATCCCCCGGGCTTACGTTGAGGTTGACAGCTTGAGCCTTTTTTTTTCTTTTCTTCTTTTTATTTGTTGGACCCTCTTTGTCTCGCTGTGCATGTATTTGAAGTTTAATCAGGTCTCCAAATACAAATCATGGACAAAACGTCAACTTGCAAGAAACTGTACAGAACCCAGAATTATGAACTTGCAATAAAATCCGGATTTGTCAAGATGACTAACAGAACTCTCTTCTTGGACTGAAGATTATTTTACTTGCAAGAGACAAAGCTCCGCTATCCTCTTAATCTAGTTTTTTTTTTTTTTTTGTCGACACGGGGGTGTTCGGGTCAATTCTTACGGGACCCGACTAATCCCCCGAGACTCGACTAATCTCCTGCGGCTCGGGTCAATCCTTACGGGTCAATTTTTAATCGAGTGTTTGCTGGATTTAAATGTTCTGGATTCTAATCTCGTTTTTTCTATTCATTTTTTAAATTTCACCCCCTCCTATTACAATTTTTTTTAAAAAAAAAAATAAAACCCAAAAGAGTGCTTGCTGTCTAATCTTTAGACGGAAACTATGAAACTTAGCTGATTTTTTTTCTAATATTTTCTTACGAAAATAAGAATTTCGGCAAATAAATCTAACTCTCCCCACGGTAACTCCAAATTTCGGCAAATGAAACTTAGCTGATTGCTAATCCTATTTGTGTTGATGAAATCGACAATGACGGCTCTTTAAGTAGGGCGGAAAGTAGCTTTCTCTGTGAAGGGTTGTTAACAACTTACTCAGTTACTCCATTAAGTGGGGGATGACTTTTCCACGGGCGTATTGATGATGATGCTGAAGGATTTGTTTTTTTTTTTGGTGCTAACTAACGTGTCTCGAGTCTAGAAGCGGGTTGTACTCTTCGTGATGATTTGCTGAGTACTTATTATTAGGACTACACATTAGCACCAGTCTATTATTGGCAACAAGAAGGAATTGTTGTTACCGCTTACCATTTGGCAGTTGGACTTGTTCAAAATTCAAAAAGTAAAATGCCGGTCGTTAGTTCTGGAAATTCAAAATAAGGTCTGAAACAGGATGCAGAATCCAAACGTGGTCTACTTGTCCCCCTGGTACCACCGGACCTTCTACATGGCAACAACACAGCATTTGAAGATAAATTAGAGACGTAAATTCATTTCCATTGACTTGGTACAAATCCAATTAGCCCACTTGCCCGTATAACTAAAATAGTGGGAAAAGCACACCCATTTTGTATGCATATTCGAAGATAGTTTGTGTGAGAACAAGAAAGATCAATAAACAAATAAAAAAGTTAATGAAAGTTTCCATAAGTTTTATGGTTTATCCTAGGGCTGCAAACGAGCCGAGCCGAGTCGAGTTTTGAGCTAATCGAGCCGAGTCTCGGCTAAATTTTATCAAGCTCGAGCTCGAGCTCGAGCTCGACGAGCTGGCAATTTTCGAGCTCGAGCTCGACTCGAATCAAGTCGAGCCGAGCTCGAGTTCGAAAAAAATTAAAAAAAAATTATTTTATTTTTAAAAAAATAAATAATATAATATTTTTTTCTGAATAAATAATAAAATATTAAGGATATATCCGTAATTTCACTATGAAAATAAAAAATAAAAAAAAATATATATAATATACGTAATTTATTATTAAATAAAAATAAAAATAAAAAATATATATATATATACTCAAACTCGCGAGCCGGCTCGCGAGCTAACGAGCTTAATATTCTGAACTCGAGTTCGAGCTCGAGTTTGACTCGAGCTGGCTCGAGCTCGATTAATGTCGAGCCGCTCGCGAGCGGCTCGATTCGTTTGCAGCCCTAGTTTATCCCTTCGATTGTAAGTTACGAACCAAAATAGTTTGAGATTGCATTTTGCAATTGACACTAACGTTTGTTTTTCAAGTAACGACATATGTACGATGAACGCTGTTTACCAAATTTGACTCCACCAGATAATAACCAACAGCCATATGCATGGCATATGGTAATGGTAAGAGTAAGAGAACTCTCTCACTTTTACAGTTTACTACTACTTTACTCGATGCACAGCGGTCAAACAAGTTTCGTATGTTGTCTTTGATACAAAGACGGAAGTACTTCACGGGACAACAAGCCATTACTTGATGGTTGCACTCTTTTTTCTCTTCCTCAGTTTTGATGATGATAGAAGTATCCTGTTCGAGTACCAACCAACCAGCACTTATCTTTTTTTGATGATAATAAATGAAGGCAATCGTCGGAAACAGAGGGTTTTCTTATTCTTTTTCCCCAAAGCAGAAGCTGCAAAATTATTGATGCTGGAGTTAGACCGGCCGGGATGCCTTTTGGTCCAGAGTTTTAGAGAATAAGAAAATTTGTGTTAATTTTGAATCAATTTGAGTTAATAAAAAACTAAAGTGCTAATGACAACAAGACACTTGGCGCAATTTTAGTGGTGGCATTGGATTGGCACTGAAAAAAATGTATTCGAGGATCCCAAGTGATTATATAGTATATATAATGCATGAGTCGTGAGTCGTGACTAACTCATTCCTCTCCCTTCTCTTTCTAAAACTCTTTTCTCTCCCTTTTCTCTAACCCTTCCATCAAAATCTTCTTCATTTCTTCCATGGGAAAAAGACCAAACCTGGTCTTTTTTCATGGGAGAAATTACTCTTTATAGTTTTTAATTTATCTTATTTGAATAAATTCTCTTCTAAGATTTCCTAATGAGAGATTTTTCTCTCCTAGTGAGAGTTTCTTCTCTTTTAAATTATTCGAGTGAGAGTTTTATTCTCTTATGAGTTTTTCTTTGTGAGAATTTATTCAGTTTTTATCTTTATGAAATTTGAGATTTTGTAAATCTAGAATCTAGTTTCTCAAATTTGCAATTTCTCCATTATTGTCAGATTGAAATTTCTTTTTAGACTTGAATCAATTTTAAACAGATCTGATTATCAACAGACATGCACTAATGATGTATTGTGCTACGGTGACTCATTCAGATGAAATATATATAGGAGCATTAATTTTATCTTTATTTGTATTATTTTCTTAGATCTGTTATATCTGTTGATTTTAAATTTATATGTATCTATGTCATGTTTATTTGATGTATTTTTTTATCATTAGTGCAGATTTGTTTGAATGAAATGATATTTTCTATCAAAAAACTTTAATCCAGACTAATTGTTTCATGGTTAAGACCCTTATGCTGTAAACGCCACTTTTTAGTGATTCATAATCTCCGGGCCAAATGAATGCGTTTATTACAAACTTTAATTTTCTCTGAGGTATTAATTATTTGGTCCAACGTTACTTTATTTGTGTGTTTTTTCTTTTTTGAGCAACTTTATCTGTTCCATTCGGAATATAGATATTGATATGCACTCAAATTACTCTTCCTTATGCTATTTGACACATTTTCTTTTAATTTTTTTCTATCAAAAAAGATGTGTCATTTAAAAAGCGAAAGAAGGCAGGAAAATTAAAACCCAAAACCTCTCATTTACGAGGCCTACTATCTAATAAGTTAGAAGGAAAGAATCTTTGTTATGCTGACCAAAACCCCCTTGACATTCTATTTTCAACCTTGCTATTCGCAACATAACCTACAGTGGCTCAGGCTAACTTCATTTTGCACTTTTTTAAACTTATACCGTTTTTTGACTTTACATTCTAAATTCTTAATCTTAAAACTTACTTTACACTCTAACTTTCAAATTTGTCTTATTTAAGTTCAATCAATAATAGCATTAGCAAAATTAATGAAACATAGGCCCCGTTTGACAAGTGAGTTTTTTGGATGTTTGTTTAAAACTTTATTGTACTTTAAGAAGTTTTTTTGTGATTACTGTAGCTAAAGTTTTTAAAAAACTTGTAGCAGACAAACTTGGCAAAAAACTCAAGTGCCAAACAAGGCCATAGGATCATAAAAATCAATGACAGCATTCTTAAAGTGGTCAAATAGTGCAAAGGAATTGCAATTAGAATAAAAAATACATTAAATTAAACGTGTACATTATAAAAAAAATGCATTATCTTGTTAGTCTTGTTGATAATACTAGTTATTGAATGGGACACACTTTTGACCAATTTGTTCTAGATTACAACCCCTTTGCTCCTTTTGATCATTTTTAACATATTGTTATTGATTTCTATGATAATTTATTTCTTAACCTTGCTAATGTTGTTATTAATTAGATTTGATCGAGACAAATTTGAGAGTTCATAATGCAAATTGTCAAAAATTTTAGAAGTTTAAGATACAAAGTGTTTAAAATTAAAATTTAAGATAAAAAGCAAGAAAATGATAGAAGTTGGTGTATGCAAAGTCGAGTTAGTCCTTATATTTCTTTTTTGGGGAAATTTTGCATGACAAACAGGTTAATTCTTGATAGTTGAAAGTTCTGTCCACCAGGACAGGAAAAAATAGGCAAACAGGAAAAGGTTGAACCTGTCTTCTCCTATAATTTTAAGTGGCTGGTATTATTCAACGTACGAATGAACCAGACCACCATAATACAAGAGGTAGGTCCTACCTGGTGTTTTGGAAGAATCTTGACCCCGGCGAGGACTGTCTACGTGTGAAGAACAATATCCATGAACTTCCCAAAAATATCTCAACTTCCACTCTCAATTTGCCACGACGAAATTCCCACACATCTTTCTCTGCTGTGGCACTGCCCACGTCACTCCTACTCCCCTCCCTCGTGGACACTTTCTTTACCGCTTGTCCTTAACCCCCACCATTTCTCGCCGTCGATTTTTCCACGGAAAGTGCTTGTGGATGCCGTAATTTGGCGTGTGTTTTCGATTTAAAATAGTATTTTTCCAGTGCAAGAATGTCTAGATTCTTCGTTCTATAACCAAGTTCGACCGGAATCTCGAATCGCCAGTCAATTACTGCTTCAACTCGCGCGATAATTCAGAAGTCAGGAGAACATTTCTTTCACTAATTTTTGGTATGGTAATTTGGACTTGTATCATATGTTTCTCTGTGATTATTTTCTTGCAAAGGTTTGCTTTAATTGCATCCGTCTTGATAAATACTACAATCTTTCAATAGTAGCAAAAGAACTAATATAATCTTGATAAAAATACTGTATGGGATTAAGTATTTGGTTGCAATTACTTGTCACACAAACCTCTGGGATGAATGCGATGTTTAGTTATTTACTCAAGTACTAACTGGGTCTGATCTACCAGTGTTCTCCTCCGGAGCGGC